CATTTGAGAGTCTCTCAAGTCAATGGAAGAGTAGTTTCGACCACCTCCCTAGTAGCTAGAGATCATGTTGGCCGAAATTGTGGTGTTTCTCTTTTTTATTGATTGTAGCTGATTTAGGGTTTAAAGTTTTGAAGAATTTTCGAAGAAAACATTATTTACTTTTATTTTCTCATACTACTTGTGATATTACAATCGGAATATATATACAGAATTCATATATATCAATAAAAAAGTTTATATTATTGTAGTAATTTTACTTAGTTCTACTAATTAATTACATTATTATAGGAAAGATTATGAGAATGATTATAAATGAAAAATATCTCAATTAATAAAGTAACAAAATTTGTAATTAATACACTCTCTCAAGTTGATGCAAAAATATCATACATATCCAACTTGCAGATCAAATTATGAAAAAAAATGTAATAAAGTCCTTTATTGAAGACATATGTCACTTGTTCACTAAAAGACATATGATACAGGCATAAGGAACCATCATTCACTTTCTCTTTTATGAAGTGTCGATCAATCTCAATATGTTTTCTTTAGTCATATTGAACTGGATTATGGGTTATGTTAATAGCTACTTTATTGTCACAAAACAATGATAAACTCTCTTCTTTGAACAGTGTTAAATCTTTTATTAACCTTTACAATCATAATAATTCACATATATTCTGCTGCTTAGTTTTTCAAGTAACCAAATTGTCTTCTACAAGCGTACAATAGCTAGTAGTTGACCTCTTATCATCTTGAGATCTAGCGTAATCAATATCTATAAATGCTTCTATCTTAAGATGACCATTTTGGAGAATAGCAAATTTTTTTCCTAGTTCAAATTTTAAATATAGTGATATGTGAAAACGACATATAAATGAGGCTCGCAAAGATCATGCATGTACTGATTCATCAGGCTAACTGCATATGCTATGTCAGATTTGGTATGTGAGAGATAAATGAGTCTTCAAACCATTTAATATCTCCCCAAGTTTATTGATGTACTAATTCCCACTTGTAGTTTACGATTACTTTCAAGAGAAGACTCTATCGGCTTGCAGCCCATCATACTAATTTATTCTAATAACTTTAAGATATATTTTAAATATGTTTTCTTTTAAAGATGAAAATATTTTTATTAGATCTGACAACTTCAATTCTCAAGAAATACTGCAATTTTTTTTATATTCTTTATTTCAAATTCTTGAGTAAAAAGTTCTTTCAATCAAGTCATCTCCCTTATATCATCTCCAATCACAATAATATTATCTACATAAATAATGAGAATAGTGACTTTACCCACATAATATTTAATAAACAATATATGGTCAGCATTGCTTTAGTAAATAATTTTCTTTCAGACCATACTTTTGCAAATCTTCCCTTGTGTTCTTTCATCTTCAAACTAAAAGGAATCTCTATATATGTTTCTTCCTCTAAGTCTCCATGGAGGAAGACATTTTTTATATCAAACTGTTGTAAGTCCTAATCAAAGTTGGTTGCACAAGGTAGCAATATTTTGATTGTATTCATCTTCACACTAGGTATATATATTTCCTAATAGTCTACTCAATAGGTCTGAGTAAATCTTTTAGCCATTAATCTAGTTTTGAACCTTTCAATCGACCCGTTTGCTTTGTGTTTCACAATAAACATCCATTTATAACCAATCATCTTTTTTCTCAGTAGAGGTAAAATAAACTTCTAGAGTTTATTCTTTGTTAAGGATTTCATTTTTTCAATCATGATTTCCTTCAATTTGGGATTCTATAGAACTTCTCTACAATCCTATGAAATAGACACAAAGAAAAGAAATAAAACAAAAATTCTATAGGAAGGATATAAAGATTCATAAGAAACAAAGTTAGATGTAGGATGTTTAGCACAAGATCTAACTCATTTCCTAAGAACAATGAGTTTATCCACATTATCAAATAAATATATTAAGTATTTTCAGGAATTAACCAGTATTTTGATGAACTAATTAAATATATTTAAGAACCAAGAAAATTTCTTGACTTGAGACAGACTACGCGGTAGCTTTCTTTGTCTTATTATTCCTTAAATACCTTTTCAAGTCTGGTTTATCCAGCGGCTAA